ATATATATATATATATATATATATATATATATATATATATATATATATATATATATATATTGAGCATGAAAATATATGCGCTGTACTTTAGGCGACGTTTGGACAGAAGCCCTGTCTTTTTCAAGGCATAATAATATTTACTGATTTTCGTGTCTTCCGATAGGTTGTTGAGACAGCAGAGAAGAAGAAAGAAGGAGAAAATGAACGAAGAAAAAGGGGGAAAAGAAAAAAAAAAGAAAGAAGAAAGACAAAAAGAAAGGAAAGAAAAAGTAGAATAAGAAAAAAGAGAATGAAAAACATGACGCTATTAGAAAGAGACAGCATATCAAGAGAGTAAGGCGAACGCGAACATTGTAGTAGTGAAGGAGCCATGCCATCATTGACAACAAAACACCCCATGCACCCACCTTTCCGCCAAGTGGACCGTGTGACGACCCGGGTTTAGTATTGCACCTTCCAGTGCAATCAGCTGGCACTTTGCCTACCTTTGAAGTTTACTGCTAATTGGTGGGGGAAACTTAAAGCACTTGGTGTGCATGTCAGCGGCACCAAAAGATATGAAAAACCTGGTGATGTAGTAGCACTGCCATCAATATTCATTTTATGCATTGGACCCTGTCAGTGAAGGAAAAGAAAAGGTGCATTAAACAAAAAGGACTGTACGACATCCAAGACCACTTATCTGAGCGTGTCTGCTGTGCCTTAAGCGGCAAACCAATTCTATATTGTCAGATGCATAAGCTTACAGCTGTGTCAGGGGGTAATATTATTGTCACATTGGGAGGCTAGGAGCAGAGGACTGATTAGAAAGATTAGATTAGAGCAGGAAAGTGCAGCAGTGTCGACGGGCGGCGGTGTTGTGGTACGCGGGAATTATCTAGCAAAATTTGTTGTCATCTTTTGTTAGACCTTGTGTAGCTAATTTCTTTCATTTTCTTTTTTTTTCGAGATATGGTTTGAATTAAGATTGGGAGGGTGCAAAGGTTCCAACACCCTGTAAAGTCGTTTGCGCCTCATGGCCCACACCTGTTTTGCGCATAGGCCGCATTTCGGGTTCATAACTATCGATCGGTAGGCGGCGTTGAGCTCGCGAGCATTTATTACCATCATCATCATCATGCTTAATGCAGCAGCATCGGCAGAGACACCAGGTGGCCCATAAGAATGATGAGGGAGAGTTTTTTTCCTGAGGTGCTTTGGAGCGAGTGGTTTTCTCTCGCGGCAGGTGCACGGTAAGCGGCACCATGGTTGGTCTGCTGTGAGCCCTCGTGGTGAGTTGAGCATTGGCACCTTCTATTTGTTATGTTGTTGAGTGTTGTGGTATATTGCGTAAGGTTGTTTTGGCGTGCTGATCACAACTGATGCATATTGATTCGGCTGAGGATACCGTCGTTGAAAAAGCAGTCAAATAAATGAGTGCTGTTTTGATTCGTTTTGACCGCATATGTGTGTCCGTTCGTTCTGAAAGTGGCTCTCATTTTTGAGACCTCACAGCCTCCTGAGCCAGTCATTCATGTTTGCAGAACTAGAAGCATGAACCGGTCTATGGGCAAGCAACATTTGTTGCTTCAGCATAGTGATGACACCCGAGGTCTGCGTCATTGTTTACCTGTGCCTTGCGCTTACTTGGATAATCCTGTTGCCTTGATGACTTCTGACCACAGGGTCCTTTTTTGTTGTTTCCATCCTGTGCTCAGCATCTTGGTTAATCAAGCTTAGCAGTAGCCCCTGAGTCTGGTTGGAGCCTGCTGGCTTTGAGCCGTGGGACATTCTTAGGGAACGTCTGTGGTGATCAATGTTGCTGCAGCAAATGGTAGCCCCCCCCCCCCCCCTTTTTTTTTTGAGGTGCAGGACTGAATGAGCCTCACTGGCTCATGGTCGTGAAATAGGGTACACCTGCTGAGCATAAGCATGCGCACAAAGGCGGCAGGGAAAGGGGGGCGGCCGTCACCCTCATTCACCTAAGAGGGACTATTGCTACCACCCCGATGGGGAACCCTGGCACGCCTATGCTGCTGTGCCCTCTGAAGTGCACGGTAGCACTGCTGTTCCGACTGCCTGGCCGAAAGAAATCTGGCCAATAACCGAGGGGAGGAGGAGGTTATGCCAGATCAGACGCATGGATGACCATTAGTTGATTTGGGACAAACTCTGGGACAAAACACATCTTCCACCCGACAATGACACATATCCCACGGCATTGTCAGTGTTACACATGGAGGCAACCATGATATGTTTCTTACAAAGTACTGCATTATATCTTCGAAAACCACACAGTTTAGGTAAAGAAAAGATGCAATCACTACTTGACAGTTTTAAAAGGTGGGAATGGCCATTCCTTCATTCAAGTGGCATGGAACTGGCAGATGCATATTGTTCTGGAGTAGAAAGTGTTTCCGCACATGTCATCGTCTATATATAGAGATTCGCTGCATTTCAAGACTTGGACTTCTTTTTTCATGTTTCGAACTGGTGAAGAGATTTATTTAGTTTGTGTCACAAAGGTACCATAAGGGTTTCAATAATGGTAAAGCTAAATAGTAAAATACTTTTTACTCTAGCAATGCATGTTGCTTTACAGATTGACAGTGGACACTTCAACAATTCGCAAAGGACGAATTATGCACAATCAACCTTTTACAACAATCCTTACAGTAAGCATTCTAGAATTAGTATGGCCAATGTTAGAGAACAGATCTTCCTTTCTTTTTGGTACGATTGAAGTGCCCATAAAGACGCGAAGCCAGCCTAGTGTTAGAAAAGGCAATGGGTATGGAGCCTAATTATTCTATCACATTCTGGCATTGAAACCAAAGCGCAAGCATCCCACAAGTTTGAATTTTATCTTGCTAACAGCCTTCAGGTAGTGTCTAAGCAGATGATTGTTTGCAACTACAATATATGTCCCAATGGGTCTTCTGCAAGATCTGCATGTAGCCATGGGAAATGCCCAATATGAAAGCCTCCAAGTAAATTCTTAGTCGTGTATCATTTCCGGCAAGCACGAATGTGAACCTCCTCTTTTTTGCCTTCAAGAAAAATGTCTAGTTTCTACTAAGCATTTACCTCGCATTACCCAGGTACAAATCTAGCACTAAGGCATAGGCACAAGCGGACGGGGGTTCTGGGGGAGGGGTTCGAAACCCACCTGAAATTGCACGCACATAAAGGCATACACATGAATATACATAACAGCGATCAGATTGACTCCGCCTCTGAAATCAATTCCTCTTTATGATCCTCCCCCCCTATAGAGTTGCTCTTTATGTACTCTCTCAAGCTTGCCTTCTCTGTAACACAACCTTTAGTGGCACCTGACAATTACAGGGAAGTAGCATGTTTCTGGCAATTTTCCCATTGACCTCTTGCATAGACAGTTTTGTTACAGGTTGCTGTTCTCAGGCAACATTCCACATTTGCACAAGCAAACTTCCATTTATGCTTGTTTTTGTAGGCTTTGCTGTCCACTCTTGCTTGCATTTTATTGTGATGCTTCCTGCAGATACTATATTAAAAAAAAAACACTTAATACTTGAGCACTGCTGTTTGGTGTCGCGATGCAGCATGGGGTTGCAAAATAATTTGTTCTCGCAAACAAAAACAAGCTGCTTCCAAAAAGAACAGCTGGACTGTGGTCAATGAGGTAGCTGAACTTGGTTATTAAACTAGCAGATCTATTTTGTACACTTGATTGAAAGCAACTAAAGGTTAATGCATATTCCTGCAGCAGGAATACAGTGCTGAGGCACTAGTACAAACCTCCCACTTGCAAGGCACAAATTTCCAATCAATGTTCCACGGACAATGCCATTGCTTGCCCCTGTCATATGACAGCGCCAACTCGAAAAGAATAAGAAGGCGTGAAAGTAGCCTGGTGCCAGACGTTTGTGGAAACTTTTCTTTCTTGCCTGGAGAATTCACAACTTTGAGCAGCACAAGGGGCTGTGCACAACACTTCCCTTCACATAGTGTACGTCACGATGATGCAGGGCCCACAGCTAATGTTTACTATCAATTAAAGTGATGCATTCGCACTTCTTATCATTGAGAGCAATACAGATGAGTGAATTCATACCCCTATGGTGGCAAAAAGTGAGCCGTCTTACTGTGCAATGATGCAATCAAGTTGCCGTCAATGGTCACCTTCGCATCCAAGCTGAAGAATTGTTTGCATTGAACATACACTGTCGATTTAGGTGACTACCTTAAAGGTTCGATGCTTCTGCTGTTTGCTCATGAGGGCACCAGAGCAATCCCAAGACCCAGCTGGTCGGATAACTTTACATCATGTGCTACACATGGAACACTTCATGCTATTATCAATTATGATTGAACTCGATGGCTATTAAAAGTGCATAGTAAGACACCAGCACATTAATAAGAGCATTTCTGTGCTGCATGCCTTGACAACCTTGATGAGCAGGGCTACTTACTGGCAGCCTTGGAACTCAGCTAATGTGCAGTTGCAATGAACCATTCTGCCTTTTCAGATAGCTCCTACGAATCTCCCTTAAAGCTTCTGAGTAAGACAACAAATGGTAATTGAAAAGCTGTAATGAATGCACCATGCCAACATCAGCTGGCCCATTGAGTAAACAATACCAGATATCTAGCACTGGAACTTTCCCTGCGCACAGATGTCAGGTGCACTGTTTTCTTTACAAACAGCAAAACCCAACTACAATGCTTAAAGAGCAGAGATCAAAGCTTCCTCTGTAGCCATCGCTCTATACAAAATTAAAAGTAAGAGAGGGAAAGTGGAATCTGCAACATCAGACAAACAGCTGCAAAAGAATTGGTCTGCAAAACAGAGGACAAATTAACTTTATGATTGTTTGACCCTCTTGCACTCTGCAAATATCGTCACTACAGATAGTATTCAACTTGATGGAAGAAATGCTCAGACAAACACACAGATCAACACATCCCAACCCAGCAGAAATTTTCATATAGTACTTGCGCTAAAACCTCAAAGCGTGAGACAAAAGTACTTTGCTCACCATTCCATTGGGCATTGCCTTGATCACTTGGTCAAGCCAGGCATGAACAAACTTAGCAGTGGCTGGGTCCACACCGTGGACGCTGCCATCACCGGCCGAATGACTCCACTCCACTGCCTGCCGCAGCTCCGCTAAAAGCTTGTCTACACCACTGTGGCCATTGCAGTTCTCATCCGCTGCAATGCCTAGCGTCGCACCTGACCAAAAAAGAGACCACAGCATAGTACAAACGATATAGGCAAAGTATCATGCAGCTTTTGCGAACCTTAGACCACTAAATATGGAAAGGAAGTTGAGCAAAGTAATTAATTATTAGTAGGAGCACATCTCATTCAATAGTGAAGATAAGAATAAGTTAGGCTGAGCAAGCAATTGACTTCGAATTCCTACATTTCCTCAACAAACGCAAATATCTAGAACCCCATTTCAAACCAGATCAAGTTTGTTTTTCATTCTGTCTCAAAGAAAAAAAGGACTGTGAAAAAAAAGAGAAAAGCTGGATTTAAAACTGCTTGACTAGTTAACAGCCCCAGTAAAAAATAAAGCACAAAAACAAAATGAAAAGTCATAGCAGTAGCAGCACTGCAGTAATGTGGCAATTTGACACTTCACAGGCATTGTGCTATAACAGGGAGTACACATCGAAACTGCGATTCTCATGTACACATGTATAGATAATTTAAAACAAAATGATTAGACTGCTTCAAAGTGTCATTACGGCAGACTGTCTGATAATGCGACTGTTTGTCGCAAGATTGGACCAGCCCGATCAGGCAAATAGCTGTTTCCCTCCTCTTAAAAAGTAGCTGTGTATGTACACTGTATTTGCACACATGCTTAACAGAGCTATGCCACGGTCTATGTGTTGTGCACTTACAATAATGACCTTCAACTACATTCCACACCCACAAAGAAGCATGACATGTTCAATTAAAGTGTCTACAAATTAGCAGGCTGACTTGTTTGCAATTAATTATAGCCACCTGTGTGTTCCGAGTGCCTGGCAAGACTGGAAATTGATAAACATGTGGTGCATGAGCGTGAGCTGGAACCAGATTCTAGCGCTAAGTTGACGCCGGCTTACAGCACAAATTCTGCCTTGTCACAGCCAAGGCACGCCGCAGTTCGACTGAGTTGAAAGCAACGCTTTCCGCTGTTCGCGTTTCTTTCAATCGCAATAATACGTACCTGATGAAGCTGCTTCTATAGTCTGCAATGCACGGGCTGCAGACATTTCGTACTGTCGAGGAATGTCTCCTCGACATTTCACATGCAATCAGCCGAAAATTTCAGCACAGGAACAGTGCGAAACATGCTCATAGCCGGACTCGACTTGTGAAGGTTCGCGTTTGATTTGCAGAGCATCTGCTCGCCTGGCCGTTGAGAGTGTTGAGTCGTCTCGCTTGCAACAGACGGCGCCACGCGCTTTTCAATATGGCAGCAAGCAGTGAGCTCTCTGTGTTCAGGTGTATAGCCAGATCGCTTCGTTAGCTCCGCCATATTGAATTCTGGCAGTGTCATTTGCTTTGTCTTTAATGTGGTGCTTTGGAGTGTGCACAATAGGCACTGTCAACAAAAGATTTGACAGCAAGCACAGTTTTTTTAAAAATGTTTCCTCTCCTGCTGATTTCACAGCCACTTTTGTTTTTTTAGTGTTAGTCAGAGGAATTGGAGGTAATTACAAAGGCCACAAAGCTCCTAAAGAGCTTAGTGATGGCGTGTGTCATCGGCACAACTTCTGCAGAACGTTGTTCAAAGAAACAAAGAAGGTACTTCTGCCCGTGCGCAAGGGGTGTGAGTCGTGTCTTGCTAGTAAAGTGAACAAGCCTCATAGTTCCCCAATTTTCATTTGATACCTCTAAATCTTGCTTTATGCTAGAGTTGCACGATTTTTTCGTGGCACTCGAACTGTCAAAATTCAAGCCAGTGATTGAACCATTGCATGCAAAATGGACGTTTTCTTTTCAAGTTCAACTCGGAGGTTTCGGCAGTGCGCTCTTAAAAAATAAGTGAAATAGCAGAGACCTTACAACATTGTCCCCCGTCATGTCTAAGACCAAGTTGATCATTCTATATCACAGAGTGAGTGCCCATTTTGTTCCGTTTGCCTGCTCTCCACCCAATATTTTTTATGCAGGCAATGCAGTAAGCTCAATCGAAGTTCACTGAATTTGATTGAGTACCTGTACTGTTGTCAGAAGCCCTTAAGATTGTACATTGGCATTTGGTACCAGGTGCTCACACGTGTAAAAGATTCTGAGGCAGCCACCGTTGGTTCTCGAAAATACCAAGTGAAGTTAATGTGGCAAAATTGATGCATTTTTCATAGTGCAACCTTTATGTGCACTGGCTGCTGCACTCGAAAACTATTTTTCACTGTTCCCTGTGTTCAATTTACAATTATCACCCAACTACGTTTTGCTCTGTGAAATTTGAAGTATTTTTCATTCATTTGCAAAATATTTTAATCTTTTGCACCTTTTGTGCGTTAGCTGGCTTATTATATGCATTTTTTGCTTTTCGCCTCTTACACTTTTGCTCGTTTTTGTTTGTCTTGCTTTTATCCATTTTGCTTTTGCTGGTTTTTTTATTATTGAATCTTTTATAGCTTTTGTGCGTGGACTGGCTTATTACGCGTATGTTTTGCTTTTTGCCCCTCCCCTCTACAATTCTGTAAAGGCCTGAAGGTAAGATAAAATAATAATAATAATATTATTAATAACAGAAGGAGGAACAGAGATGTATGTCAGTACAGGAGAAAGTTGGGCCACTTGGTTTTGCATAGGTGACATTTCGAAGGACCAGCACTCAGCACATGAACCATAAGAACAGCGACTACAATGTGCCACGCTCTGGGTGATTGGAATCGAGGCCTGGGTTGTAGGCGCGAGCGGCATTTGAAACTCAAACTAGAAACTGGGCGAGATCTGTGGTCACTTAGTGGCTTTTTGATGTAGGGTCATGGTCTTTCTGCTGCTTAGATTGAACGATCACCAGAAAAAGCAGTCACTTTTATCAGCTAGGTGACCACATGTGGCTGCGTTTTACAGGTGGTAGTAGTGGAGGCAGGTTTTCACTAAGTCTGAATGCACTTCAGATTGTTTTCACATTCTGCTGTGGCTGTCGGATGCCCTCTATGTGTGCCCTTTACAAAGGGCATACTTCAGAACACAAGTGTGACCGGCTTCTGGGTTTGAGAGGTTGCAGAGGTCGCACGCTGAACGTGGTGGATTGAGGCAGACGTCTCGTCTGTGTCCAGGGGTTTGGTAGATGAGGCAGAACTGACTTGTCAGCTGGTGGTAGTAGCAGGATATCTTCCCTCCACAGAAGTACACCAACCGAGTCAGTTCAGGGCCTTTGAAGCGGAGCAGCACTATCTGTGATTGTCCAAGCATGCCAGCTCACAAGGCACAAGCTTCATGAGTGTGGGCCTGAAGATTTGCTAGAAACTTTTATTTGCCAGAGCCCAAGTCGATGCTGCGCGCAACACCATTAGATAAGTATTTGGGTGTCAGCAAGTATACCTTCACAGGGTGTGGCCGTTCCTGGAAAGTGAGGCTCATAATTCGCACAAGAGTGGCCGTCGTAGCTTCAAGAGGTTCGCCCGCGACACAACTGCTCGATTTCTCCTTTTGGTGCAGAGTGTCAGATGCTCTCTTCGCCCATGAAAGTGTTAGTCTCCTTTCAACCCGTCGCGCCGCCGCATCGGCTGTGGTGCTAGCTATCGCCGACACAGGTGATTCTCCTAAAGATCCTTTCAGCTACAGTGAGCCATCTGTGCCAGTAGTTTCAAGTGTTTCTTATCAGTGCTTTGTCATGCTCTCATGAATAGGCTGCATCACTTTAGCTGGATAAGTGGCCTATTAATGAGTGGCACATATTAGCGCAACGAAAACAATCAACACAGGAAAGAACACAATCCCAGCCGTGGTGGTTCAATCCCGTGTAATATACGATGTCCCTGCATGTTAAAGAACACTAGATGGTTAAATATATCCTAGCCCTAAACTTCTGCATGGCTCATATTCATATAGCGGTTTTGACACGTAAAACCCCAGATATTATTATTACGTATTAAAATGGTTCCGCTTAAGATGGAACAGTGGTTAGGGTGCTCGGCTGCTGACCCCAAGGGCACGAGTTTGATCCCGGCTGTGGCCGTCACCTTTTGGTAGAGGCAAAACGGTAGAGACCCATGTACCGTGCAATGCCAGCACACGTTAAAGAACACCAGTAAGTTGGAATTTTCGAAGCCCTCCCCGAAGGCATTGCTCATAATCTTAATGTGGATTTGAGACATAAACCCTACATATTATTATGTTATTAAAAACGGAGAGTTGTATTGTATCTATGTTGTTCATTCGCTGTGATTTGCTTCTTTTTATGAGCTAATCGAAGCCCAGTGAAATCCAAATTTACCAATGAATACTGTCGATAGTGGTCTACATATGTATATTCCGAGGCATTTTGGTGACATGGGCACACTGGCCAAAAAATCATAGAAGCAGGCCCAACGATAACATAAGTAGCAAAAAGCTACATTTTTCTCAGTTTCCCTCTAAAAAAAAATAGTGCCCCCCCCCCCCCCCCCCACAGTGGACAGTGGTCTAGTGACCTGCAGGTCACGGAATTAAATACTGGCTTGGCGGCTGCATTTTCGTTGGAGGCAAAAATGCTGTAGGCTTGCGTGCTCAGATTTGGATGCACATTAAAGAACCCCAGGTGGTCCAAATTTCCAGAGCCTGCTAATATGGCATCTCTCATAATCATATGATGATTTTGGTATGTTAGACCCCAACATATAAATCAATCACTGGAGTCACTATTTCTAAGAAAAGAAAATAAAAACTTCTCATCTGCATATATATGCACCGTTAGACCATAGTTGTGCATAAAGTGAAGCAGGTCTAATATAGCGCTGTAATATGTCAAAGCCAGCTATGCACTACTATCTAGCCCAACAATTAATTTTTCTTGAAGGTCGATGGTCCTCCATACTTGTGTTCCATCAGATGCAGGCGGCAAGTTTGGCTGTCTGATAGAAGCAATTAAAGAAGCACGAGGTCCTTGTCTTGATTTCGCTTGTATGACAACTCATCATTGCATTATTAATGTTATTGGGAATGAGCAAAACGTAGTGCTCTAAACTCAGGGTCGACTAAACATCCGACGTTAGTGTGTATTTTAGTTACAAAGG